TATCAATTTCTCACTGAGCCCAAACATCTGAATGATAATGTATCACAAATTGAATATTGTGCAGCACAACTGTTTTCAACATTGATAATAATCAGAAATGTTTCTTGAGCAGCAAATCAGCATATTAGCATGATTTCTGAAGATCGTGTGACACTGAAGACTGGAGTAATGATGCTGAAAATGCAGCTGCGCATCACAGAAATAAATTACAGTTTAACAGATATTCACATAGAAAACAGCTATTTTAAACCGTAATAATATTTCAGTGTTTTTACTGTATTTTCCATTAAGTGAATGCAGCCTTGATGAGCAGAAGAGACTTCTTTCAGAAACATGAGAAACAGCAGAGTGTTGATCGTGATTCAGACGCAGAGCCTCTCGAAGCTCTTTTTCATCTGATGATGTATGTACTCGTGGGAAAGCCGTTCAGACCTTAAACGGTGAGTCTAAACAAGCCCATAATTCATAGTCCCGGCCCATTGTTTGACACAGATCTGTTTTCACAGATATTAAGGGCAGTTTACCTCCTTTTAACTCAACAGGCTAAAGATTTAGCAATTAGGGCCTAATCACGATCATTATATGGAGTAATCCATCTGAAGCCTAACAGATGTGTGAGTGCGCTGGTCAAGGCCCGCTGTCGATGTGTTCACCTAATGGCTGTTATTTAGCCGGTCGCTCGTGACTGGAATGTTCTCTGATCTTCATGCTGCCAAAACACACTCAACACTTTGGGATTCTGATTCCTCTCACTTTCTCTCACTTGAGATTCAGTCAACCGCAGGCGTGAACAGCTCCACATATCAGGACTTTCTGTTGGTCATTAAAGCAATAAGCCCCAAGAAGCCGTGGTTTACAGTGAATTTATAACAGCTAACATGACGCGAAGCGGAGTGCCTAAAACCCCCTTAGCTGTTATAAATTCACTGTAAACCACGAGACACGAAGCGTAGTTTAGCTGTTATAAATTCACTATAAACCACGGCTTCACAGGGCTTCTTGCTTTTATAAAACTGTTATTCCATATACGTAGTAAGGTTTCACAAAATAAAACAGAGCAAATAAAGTGTAATGATATTAATAAAAACAGTATTCTTCCACCAAACAATGTAGCTCCTCAGAAACAGTTGTGGTTGCAACAAAGTGGTTGCCGAGCAACAGACAAACGTAAACAAAGGTGTATGTTACTTTGTAGAGTCATTTACAACAGCTTTTTTGAAACATTTTGCTGATTATACACACTATATTATATATTCATTATATTTTTACTTGACTTGTTAGTGATGTCTTAAATGATGCACGTTTGAATAAAATAAGTCTTTATGACAGCCACAATTTAAATTGTTATATTTCAACAACAAATTGGAGTAGAAACATAAATCACTGAAAAGTTGATGTGTGCAATTTAAATGTTTGTACACAACTAATAAATTTAATAAATTAACTGATTATTCAATCAACTTATTTTGAGTTTCAGTTGTCAGCTGAATGATTTTTGTTCTTTGGTTTAAAAAACCATTACTAAATATTTTTTTTTTACAGTGTTGCAGTTTTTTAAATTTACAGTGCGGTTGTATACAAATAGTAATATACTTCTGTCTTGGAAATTATTTATTATTATTATTATTAATGGTTCTCAGACAGCAGGGCTTCAGTTGATACTTTGACTGTGATTAAAAATAAATTATTTTACATAATCATGTTCGTATTTCATGCCCCAAATGTTGTGCCAATTTTCCCTGTGGCATTGAATATAAATATTTTTGAAATTCTGAAGTGTTGACGACACTTCTTTGTGCTGTTTTTCACTGAACAGATGAATTGAGGTGGTGCTTGTTTGTATTTGGTGCCAAATGTAAAGCGTTGTTCACACTGACAGATTTGCAGTGAAAAAGCGGTCAGAAGTCATGTGACACTTTCTAAATTTTGATACTAACCCATATTAACTATAAGGTGGGAAAACAAGCTGATAATTGAATATTCAGCACATAGTTTTTTAAAATCAATAATATGAATGACAAATTTCCACTCACTGTAAGTATAGTGTTGAACTTTATTACACACTTAAAAATTATTATTATATAAATCAGTTAATAAATCAATAAAAATTCTGTCAAATACAGTGAGCGAGGATGTTGAAAGGCACTTTCGGTTTTAGTTTATTCTAGAGATGCACCGAATGCAATTGTCTTGGCTGATTCCGATTTTTTTATTATTATTATTATTTTTTTTTTTTTTATGTGTGCCCTGCCGATACCGATTTTTGCCGATTCCGATTTTCTTTCTAAGAACTATAATTGACAGCATATACAAACAAAAATGTATACTTTTTTTCAATGAAAAAAAATAAAAATATTTACATAAAAATATATTAAACATTACAATTCCCCCAATCTGGACTAAGTTACAGATATTCTCTATAAATGCATTTACATTGCAAAATTTCAAATGCGTAAATAATTTTATAAGATTAATGTTTTAAATACATATTTTTTAAAAACAAAACAAATAAGAAATGTTGGGAAAATGCAATGATCGTTTTAAATATGAACCCAAACCACCAGTAGGTGGCGGCAGTCATTTAGTCACTCATTCAACCGATTCGTTCAAACGGCTGATTCATTCAGAAATGAGGGAAGTGACTGTCTTTTATGAATGGGTTTCTGAATCATTGACTCACTTGATTCGTTCAAAAGCGTGGATTCATTCAGTATGAGACACTGCTGTGTTGCTCGGAGACACAAAAGAGTTCTGCTGTGGCTTTGATTGGAACTATTTTCGTCAGCGAAATTGAGCAAATACAGTCAATATTGTGTCTAAAATGTAAATCACTTCATTTTAACTTCTTGTTTATTGAACCACTATTGTATAAAATCAGAGTCACGTTGCAATCGCGTTGATATTCGGGTTAAATATCTTGGTTGTGCAATGCTGTGTACCTAAATCATATATTATATATATATATATATATATATATATATATATATATATATACAGCATTGCACAACCAAGATATTTAACCCGAATATCAACGCGATTGCAACGTGACTCTGATTTTATACAATAGTGGTTCAATAAACAAGAAGTTAAAATGAAGTGATTTACATTTTAGACACAATATTGACTGTTTTCGCTGA